AATAATCCCGCTTTGTCCTCTTGCACGAGGGTCTGAGATGCCTCATCTCTGTTTGGTTGCTCATACCTCTGAGCTCTGTTACTGCCTCCTCCCCCATCTCGTCTCCACTCTCTCCCCTGACATCAGCCTCCTGTGCCTTTAAAAAGACAAGCAGCTTTTTCTCGTCTCCTACTGTGAGTATGCAAACAATAGCTGACCTCCACAAGCACATTGATTAACAGGGATCTACTCTTTCACACTATCAGTCCCCTTCTTCATCCCTCATACAGTAACCGTAACTACCGCCTTTGCCTCTCTCCTTCCAGGATCCCCCTCTGTCACCCAATGTACTGCACAGCGAAAATGTCATTTTTACGCCTTCGTTTCACACAATGGAAGCTTCTAACAGCCAGTGTGGCCAAACAAAGTGATGCCTGAGGTTCACAATAGACTCCAAGAAACTGGTATTTGTGTGTATTATTCAAGTCTGACCCTATTATATTCTCTCTTATTCAAGGAGCTCCACCAGTAACCCTTAGTATACACACACACACACACATATATATTTATTCCCCACTTGCCCCCCCACTTTTGGGGCGGTCTTGTATTCCTTCCTTCAAGCTCGGGTCCTCTACCAGAGGCCTGGTAGCTTGAGGGTTCTGCACAGTATCTTAGCTGTTCCTAGGACTGCACTCTTCTGGACAGAGATGTCAGATGTTGTTCCTGGGATCTGTTGGAGCCACTCTCCCAGTTTGGGGGTCACAGCCCCCAATGTTCCTATTACCACGGGGACCACTTGTGCCTTCTTTCAGCCCTTGGTATTTCTCAAGCTTCTCATGTTCCTTCTTCCTGATGTTGCTATCGCTTGGAATTGCTACATCTATTGCTACGGCCTTTATCCTCTGTTTGTCCACCACTACTATGTCCGGTCACACTGGCTCGGATGTCGCCCGGGTCAACAAGGTCTGCGTCAAGTGTTGGGGAACCAGGGCAACCTGATGAGCAGTGGACTACTGGAACAAGACATTCATGGACAAGAGAGGAGAACAGGGAACTACTGGAATGCTACTATACAAGTAACTCCAGTGAGAGGGGTTACATACGGAGGATGTGGGACCTATAGATATATATATAAATCATAATCCAAAGTCCTCACTCTTGGTAAGGCAGGGACAACTGTCCTCCCATATAAACATCCAAATAAATAATCTCTCTATGTCAATTCCCTAGGCAGAAGGCTGGGATGATGATCTAATTTACTGGCACTCTCACCAAACCTTGAATTGCATTAAAGACCAGAGAGCAATATTAATATTCCGGTACATTGAGATCCGCTGTACCAGAGTCAAATTCCTCATGTGTCCGACACACCTGGCCAATAAAGCTGATTCTGATTCTGTCTAGCCACTCCTTCCCATTTCTTTTTTTTCAGCTATCAGTGTGACAGATGCAGAAAAGGTGTCCTGTGGGATAGAAATAAGAGCACAAGCAGGTTCTACACATTTCCCATCAACTGTAAAGGGGCAATAGGAAAGAGAAGCTGGAAATACGAGAGCAGTAAATCTATTGTACACTCATGGGAAAGCAAGGAAAGGAGGGCACACAACAATAGATACTCCGCCTGGTAAAACTTGTAGTGACGCAAACCTGCTGTGTGCAGAGTTCAGTTGTCACATTTCTGGCTAAAAGGACTAAAAAAATAAAATAAAATCTTATTTTCCACTTCTCAACCTAGAACCCAAAGCCCAAGTTCAACCTAATGCCACACTTAAAAACGGGAGTGTTTGCATGTAAAGATGAAATTCACAAAAATATTGATGCGATTCCTGTCTCAGATGTTTCATAGCCCAAGTAAAAATGCTGTCCACTCACAATTCCCAAAGGAAACCCCTACTTAAGCAAAAATATTGATTGCCACTGTCATCCCGAGCTCCATACCAGTTCAAAGATGCATCCTTAGCACCTCATAAATTATGTGTGACGTTCCTATTAAAGGACTGGTATAAGCAATCCGTTTTTGCTGCTTTACAGGTCTGACCTACGCTGCAGCTGCAAATGCAAACTGAAGAAAACCAAGAAATAAAAATTTCAACAAATGCAGTCACTAGAAGATATGGTTGTGGCAGATTTCTATAAAAGATTCATTACTGTGCTCAAGAAAAAAATTGGGTCACAATGACTAGTTTGCAAGACTTAGAAACCATGCAAACCTCCTCTCAGCTTTCATCTGTATGCACAAAACATAAATACCCCTGTGAAATGGGTTTTAGTTGTTCTATGAAACTTAAACAGTTAAACCAGAGTTATATATGATGTGTGACTTGTAAAGAAGGTCTTTTTTAAAAGCTCACTACTGTTGTAAGTCACAGATTTATCAACGCTGTTCCAGCTTCACTGTAAAATCTTAACAGCAGCTGTAAGCAAGTTGTCAGCAAAAGAATAATAATCTTCAAAAGTGCTGAAGTGAGAATTTGAATTATGATCATCAAGCCAGTTTAAGATAAAGTGTGAACCTTAACCAAAGGCACAGTCTCAAAAACTCATTACAGCCTAAGACAGAGAACACAAACAATATCTCCCTTAATTTGCCGCAGAGACACTCAAAAACCCTAAGCAAAGGAAAAATACAACGCTCAGGGAGGACCACAAAAGAGGGAAACTGGTTCTACCACAACATCACTGCTGACACAGTTATGACAAAGTGGGCCACTCCAGGACAGATCACTGTGGCTGTGTATAAAATACTTCAAATAAATTACAAGGTGGAAATATTCAAATCCATTCTTGTGTTATCAAACACAATTAGACAGCTCTGCAAGTGGCATGCCCTTCATAAAAATGATATTTAAGTTTGGACGCTGTGAATGCCATGGTAAAACATTCACCTTATTCCTTTTAAACCATTCCTGAGTCGATTTTGCTTTGTACTTTGGATTCTTGTCTTGTTGAAGGATCCACTGCCTCTTCATTTTTAGCTTTTTGACTGATGATAGGAGGCTTGGCTCCTTGGCTCCAAGCATGCTGCCTTATGTCTAGAGGTAAGCAATGGCTTAGTGTGTGCTTTTCTCCCAAACAGTCCAGACTTGTCCAGACTATGCTTGGCTGTGGAGATGTGGACTTTTATTCCAGTTGCCCCTAAGGACTTTGTCAGGTCCCCTGCTGTTTGTTTTGGGTTCTTATGTAGCTCTCAAGCAAGTTTCCTAGCATTTCTTTCAGTTACAGTGTCAATGAAAGCCTGTGGATCGATTTGAAGAGGGTTGTACATAGCAGACAATCAAGCAATCTGGTAGCCCTGGAACAAGAATGCCATGAAGAGTGGGGTAAAACTATACATGACTGGAAACTAACGCTGCTCAGGGTAACCAAAGAGGCTGAAGCAGGTTAGCCTTAAGCAAATATGTTTCATTTTACATAGAAAGCTATACAGAAATTTCCAATTTGATGCTGAAGTACAGTCAGATAAATTAGAGTTGATGTGTCTCGCTGTGTTCATTCACACACTATGAACCAGGTGACTGCAGAATTCAGGCAGCAGGGTGTAAACACAGGAGCAGTAAAACATGAACACTAGACTCTGAAAAGGAAAACCACCCTCTGCTGGTTGTAAAATGACACTGCACTTGGAAAGTGGCCTAGTCATCCCCTCTTATAAAATAAAGTCTATGAAATAAATCCCAAAATCAAGAAAGGCAGCAGAGGAAAGATAAGTATTATTAGTGGGGAAACTAAAATAGTGAAATGAAGTCATCAGTGTTCTGGGTTGAAATAGTAATGTTGCAGCCAACTGGCATGAATTCAGTCATAATAAGACAAACTATTATGATAGAGTCAACTGTGCTAAATGTTAAAAAGCATGGTTTGAGCGCTCTCCTTTATACTGTAAAAGATACACATAAACATTTGACCCTCGTGCTTTTTCTTTATCCACCACAGACAAACCACAATTATACAGTATACAGCTGAATTTCCATGACCACTAAGTTCATACATTAGCAAATCCTGTTTCTTTGATTTTCTGTGGTAGGCACACATAGCAATGCTAATCTGTAATTTTGTGAGTGGGGTAAATGAATGGGTTGCTGACAGAGAAAACAAGACAGTTACTCCAGATTTCAGTGGCATTAATACTGTATGTAGCATCTGTACATGGTGAACACTGACAGATTTGTATCTCTCAATTCTCACAGTATGTTTCAGGAATAGTTGAACTTTATGGAAATATGCTTCTTCCTGATTTTGATAAGAACAATACTACTCTCATGTGTCCATATACAGTAGTAAATATGAAGCATGAGCCAGCGGCTGAATAGTTTAGCTTAGCACAAAGAACAGAAACAGGACAAAACAACAAGCATGACTCTGACTAAAGGTAACAAAATCCACCTATCAGCACCTCTGAAGCTCACTAATTAACACATTTTAGTGTTTACAAAGTGTAAAAATGATCATTTGTCATTTTACAGGAGCTTATGTGCTGTACTTTTTAATTTGTTTTGGAAACAGTTGTCAGGCATCTAGCAGAGACTCCAGCGACATGACAAGAAATAGTCCAGCACACAAAAGGCATTTTGTTCCAGTCATTATGTTAGGATAAACTAACCACCTGGCCCCAGCTGGTATCAATCTTCTCACCTTCCTAAAATGCTGAACTATTCCTTTAAATCACAATAAGGAAACAGCCTTGAAGACTACACTTCCTGTAGTTTTAATCTCAGTTCAGGAGCTCAAAACAAGGTAATTATTTGTGCTAGATGTCGATTTAATGCTGTAATTTAACCTGAACTGGGGTTGAAAGGATAAGGACATGGCTACTTGTCACCAAGGAGGCCAAAAGGACTAGTGTCAGCACTGAACAGATCTACTGCAAAAGAGGCAGAACAGAGGCATGCAAAAAAAGAAACATGCATTCACATCAAATTCTTTAACACAAAAAATGTTGAATGCCTCATATGAACTACACATTAGTAAATGAACAGGTCTGGCATAGCAACAGTCTGGCAGAGTTCATGCTCATACAGTACCTTAAAGGGGGGTGGCAGGGTGCAGAAGCAGGACAGTGGTCCTCAAGCTGGTAAGCAGAAGGTGCAGGAGTGGAGGCAGGGGCTGGTGGAGGAGGAAAGCAGGGAGATGCAGGTGGGGTTGGTAGACCTTCGAGTATGTGCCTCTCCGGGGGTGTGGAAGGAGGAGTGGGGAACTTTGCGCTGTCCTGAAGGTGAGGAGGAAGGGTAGGCAGGAAGTGCTGTTCAGAAGTAGGAGGTGGGGGAGAGTCACCTTTCTCTGCCTGATCAGAGAGCGAGGGCCTGCAGGGGAGGGAACACAAACCCTCAACAGACTGAAACAAGGCAGCCAAGTACGGCGATTTGGAGAGCCCTCTAAGAACTCACTTCGTTTTCCTCAATATAGATGAACCATGAAGGAAACTTACCTCAAAGCGAAGAAAGATGGAGCATCCTGCTGTGTGTATAAACCTAATAATGACTTGAAAAACAATAGGCTCGCTCCAACCATCCTAATAACGTTTTGTGATTTAAACAGTGCGAAACTGAAACTCCTATCATCAGTCCCCTTACATGATAGTCCATGTTTCCCTTGCTTGCTCTTGCCTTCCTCAGTGAAGTAGCTGGTCTGAGGGTGTCTAGCTCTGTCATCATTAGCCACCTGGTGCAGTGGCTTTGGCCCCAATCCAGGTTCATCTTATCAGGAGTGGTAGGCTCCCTAATCTGACAGGCAATGGGTGATGGACGCCTGAGCAGCTGTCCCCCACTTGGGATCTGCTTCTTCGGCAGATTAGAACTTAGACAATACCTTCATCACATTTACAGTACTCAAAAATCAAGTCATCTGCCTGCTGAGTTGTACTTTCCAAATGTCCCTTCCAGCTCATTTCAGACTGAAACTGAGTTATGTTATTCTCCATCTTTCTCTCCAGTAAAGTCATAACTTTTCTTGGTCATTAACTCATTTTATTGCCAAGTATGTTAAAATATAAGGCATTTGACTAGCTCAGTGGCCCCTGGTGTGCACCAAATAAAACAGGAAAAAAGGGGGGAAACAGAATAACAAGTAAAACACAAGAAAACAACCAGCTATTTCTAAATATGTACGTATAGATAAGTTAAAATTTGGTATTTTGTGTTCAGTGGTTACATCTTGTTATTGAACTGTGGTGTTTGCTGTATCTTGTTGTACATGTAAACATGGATTAACTGTTCAGTGTTGTTAAGGGTGTAGCAAGTTACACTTTACATCTAACAGAAGGCTGGTTCATATCGTTCCATTAAAAAAAACGTACAGAACTTTGTAGTTGATTCCTCTCTCTCCTAATGCAAGTCGGTGAATTAAGCCAGCAGGCTAAAGCTCTACATATGTCAGCATCTGTGGCCAACTTGGCACATGTAGCCTGGAAATAGAAACAACCAAGTCATAACATAGTCTGAGCAAACTGTCATAGACTCACTGTGACCTCCAAAGATGGACAAAAACAGTTGTAGAGCAGATAAAAAATAAATCAAGCTAAGGGAGAATTGGAAGAAAGGTAATATTACCCTGGACACTAGGGAAGTACTTACTGGTTCATTGGCTTGTGTATGGAGGTAATGTCAGCTGACCTGCTCAGTAATAGCTGGAGCATTCCAACTTGCTCCCAGTAGCTGAAAGCAACAAGTTACACGTGCTCTTTTTCAGCAACACACTCTTTTACGTCAGTGTAGTTTTACTGATGGAATTAACATCTGGAGGCTGTCCAGTAAAATGTTATATTTTTGGTGATTCAGCAATGTGCATGGTGTTACTCAAGGGCACCTTGCAAGCAGTTTTTGAGAAAGCAAAAGCAGATTTTACAAGGCCAGTCCAGGAATACATAGTAGTCATTTTTAGTACTGTCTAGATAACAAACCTGACTCTCTTAACCTCAACTTTTATGGCTCAGTATTAAGTAAAACAGAAGTGACTTTGCATGTACTGTATTCCAGCCATATGTACACACATTTAGTGTAATCTACAGGAAACAGCTGGGCACTAAAAACAGCAAGTCCAGGCAGCGTGTTTAATGATAAACACTGAGCTGTAAATAAAACCAGATGAAGGTACTGAGAAATATATTTTTTTAAAGCTACACTGGGAATGGGATGGGAACGCCATTTCTGTCTTGCAGCAAACAGATACTACACATTCAAGGACACATTGAATATATTACACACACAAACATCAAATAATCCACTAATTCATTTCTGCCACAATTGAAATGAAATCATTATTTAGCACCAGTCTAATGTGGTTGAATAAATGACATACAGTACATGAAATTATCTATTTAACTTCTGCCAGCAAAAGCATATGAACCTACATACAACTGCCATGGCAACTACTCTATTTACAGTACAATGTGGGCCAGACTACATCCTACTTTCCTTTTACTCCAAAAACATGGATGAGAAAAGTCCTACATACCAGGCTGAAGAATCACAGTCATTCCCAAAGGGTTTAGTGAGGGGGAATGGCTTTACAATAGATTTTGTGACTAAAACTAGTTGCGTAACATTAAAAAAAAGTGTCATACAGCAAGTCAGTCAGTGGTCCTTTATGTTTCATGCTAGGCTCAAAATAACTCATCCTCATATTAAACTTTACCAGGGCAACGAGATTTTTGGAAAAGTCACAGACAGTAGTGATCATGAGTTTGACTCATTATTTTGAGGAGATTTCATGCCAGCCATCAATCAAGCGGCCTCCGTCATGTAGGGGAGGAGAGTACAGCATGCTCTAACCTGTAACATTTTTCATTTTCATTGCATGTGTTACACCTTCTCTCCTTTCATCTTTCTATTTGTCCCTTCCTTCCACCCATCTGGTGAGGTCAGCAGTGGCAGAGCGTAATTAGCACTAGCTACCTATACCTCATCTGCTGCGTCCACCTGGAAGGACTTAAACAAAAAGTTATTGTAGATGCATGCAGAGAAAAAAAAAATAGGGTAGCTACTTCTTGCTAACTCACCCAGATTTCTGCCATGGAGGAATCCATCAAACAATTTCAAACAAAGAGGCAACTACTGTACAGTAAGTTGTGGAAATGACTTCTGCTGAGTGCCTCTCCAAAGACACCAGAAAGAACAACTGTATGCCCCGGTCCTTTTCTCCTCTGTCTGTGACTCTGACCGACTTTGTCGCACACACTCACGTCGCAGAACATACTCCAGTGTTTCTCTGAACTCTGACTTTTGTTCCACTCTCTCTGGTCTGTGCAAATGACTTCAGAGAGGCTGAAGTGCCTGCCCAAATTCCTCCCACTACAGGCTTCAGTTCACAAAGCTGCACAGACTGAGCAGGACTGACAGCTAGGACAGCCTCTGGGAGGCGGGGGAAAACACCACATGTCTACACACACACACTCACACACTTCATCAAGCATGCAGTCACATTTATGGTCTCTGCCACATGTATGCAAGTGTAACTTTACCCACTGATGAAACCTATAGTAGAAATAGCACTGTCAGTCCTTTTTAGTGCTCTGAACAAACCTTTATGTCTCCAACAGCAGTGATGGGACAAGTGTTGTGACTGACAGGCAGCAAGTGCTCCTCCGGCATGTGGGATGGCTCCTGAGCATGCGCCAAATGCCCGGAGAGAGTGGAAAATAAGGGAGATAATTGAGGGAGATGAAAAAACTAAAGCTAAGTGAAAAGAAATGAGCACATATTATTTTTAAAAAAATCAGTAAATAAACTAGAAAAAACTGTACTTTTGCAACACATCCTTGGATGCACAGTGATCACTCTAGTGACATGATGTTTTTCAGTGAAAGAATGACACCCGTGAACAACTGGCCTAGCTAGAGCTGTTAAAATGTTTAAATAAATACTGAATGCCTACATGGAGGTCAAACTGAATGACACACTGGTTTACAATGTGTATTTAACTCAGTCAGGGGATTTAACATTAAGGGTTCACTGCCAAATCTGTAAGACACTGCAGACAGCAGCAACCTACCAGACGCCCTTGATATGTTTGAAAGCCTTACAAAGACACAGAGGGAATTCTCCATGTGCATGGAAACCCATTTAAAATGTCTGACAGGCAGGGCAGTGTGTTAGCTGCTTAGCTACAAAGCCCGTGTCCCCTCGAGATTGTTCCTTTTAGAAATAATTTAACTCTAATAAAATGTTTCTGATCACTGTAATGAAACTGTTATGATAAGATTCAAGTCTAAAAGGTCATATACAAATCATTATCATATCTGGTTTCCTTTTGGAAAACCAGTAAACCACAAAATTACCAGTGTCCCTGTAAACCTGTTGTTTTCAATGGTAAAGGGCTAATCCTTAGATTTTAGTCAGCTGAGGACTAAATGGATGTGGCATGTTAAATCTAAACTCAGCTCTGATAGAGACCGGCCCCCTGGCAGCAGCATTCTCAGTTTATTCAAACTGGTGAAGTAGGCTTTCACTGGAAACTGGAAACATTCATTTAGAACCTATGCATTTTGACAGAGACAATAACAAGTGATCCACCATAAACACTTAAAATAATGGGAAAATAAATTTAAATTGGTCCTGTTTGCTGTTGTCACTGTTTCACAGATCGTGGTCATGAAAAAACATTTTCAGATGTGAAGATTAACCAGTCTCACCATCAAAACTCTCACTATAATTAATTACATATAAATGATCTTACAAAGACACTCACCCGCTGTCCCATAGCTCCTCAGCAGGACCCTGGACTGTTTCTGGAGCTGGGATCCCTACAGGTTTTTCCACCAGCTCCCCTGGCAGCTCACTGATCAGCTTCTTCTCTGCTCCCTGTGACTCTGTTGTTGTCTGTGTTGGTTCGGGGTCTTCATTCTTCGTTGGTTCTGGGACCTCTACTTCATATGTTGTTAGCTCCTGGGGCTTCCCTGTGCTTTTTGTTGGTTTTAGGATCCCAGCTGGCTCCTCCACTATTTCTGAAGAAGTTATTGGCTCCCTTTTTGGTTCTGGATGTTCTTCTGGAAGCTCTTGTTCTTCCTTGGTTGGTTCTGAGAGCTCTACATTTTTTGTTTCTAGGGAGAGCTCTGCTTTGGTGCTTTGTGTTGGGTCAGAAGGCTCTGTTGTCTGCTGTGTGGGTTCTTGGAGCTCTGCTGACTTCTTTAAAGGCTCAGGAAGATCCGCCTGTTCTGCTGCTTGCTGCAGTACTGGGATCTCCTCCTGTCTCAGAGGAGCAGCTGTATTGTCAGTCGGCTTAAGACACTCTAGTTGGGGAGACTCCAGAGATGGGAGGGGTCTGGAAGAACAATACAAGAGAAGAAGGGGTTGGGGGACTTGTTGTGTAGTTTACAGCACATGCACAAGGAATGACTGACAAATGTGTGTGTTTGTGTGGCTACGAGAACTTATGTCCCATCAAGGTGTGTGTGTGTGTGTGTGTGTGTGTGTGTGTGTGTGTGTGTGTGTGTGTGTGTGTATAAGTAGATAAGACAGATGT